GCCTTGAGCCTCCCAAAGTGCTGGGATTCCAGGCGTCGAGCTGCCGTGCCTGGCCTGAGTTTCTGCTTCTAAAGGCTGCAACAGATAACAATATCAAGCACAGAGTCTCCTCTCAAGAAATACTGGAGAAATGAAAAACAATAAAAACGAATACGTATACACACGCACTTACCTGTCAGCCTCACATTAATACTTTCACATTTTATCGCATTTAGTCCTTCTATCTACCGTATGAAACGCAGTAAATAAACACATAACCATTTAACACTTGAGGCAACTAAGAGGTCAACTAACTTCAAGGTTTCTCCATAACCTGGATGGCCAAGATTCCAGAAGGCTGGCCTGTTGAGTCCAGAGGACTCAGTACATTGCTTCTGTCAAGTGAGGCTGATTTACAGAATAGAACTGAGGCCCAGAGAGGGGGAATGGTTTTACACCACCATGCTGCCCATAATCAGAGGCAGGGCAAAACCAGGCTAAACAAACTACAACTCCCTGATGACTGACTCCGGGCAGAAGCCCAGCCAGGGAGAGCTGCAGGCTACCTGGGCGCTGCTGGGTGATGTAGTTCTGCAGTGTCACCTGAGGCTGGTGGGACTCACTCACCGCAGGACATAGGAGACACCTGGCAGGTGCGCTGCTCTTGTAGATATACTGCGCCAGCCACCACTGCACCGTCATGTTCCAGTACCGCATGCCATCGCGCACCCGCACGCAGAAATCTGTGCCGTAGCAGTCGATGTTGCGGATGGTCTCATAGTCATACTCCAGGGAAGCCGCCTTCTCCGGACTGGGGGTGGAGGATGAGGGTAGGGGACAGACATGCAGCTCAGCCAGGCCCCCTCCCGACGCCTGCTAGTGTCCCAGCCCCGGATGCTAAGGAAGGGATCCTGGCCAGGCAATGGCCTTCTGGCTGTCAGACTTGCTAGGGCAACAAGGGAGGGTGGCCCAGAGGGTGCCTGTAGGGGAGGACGATGGGTGCGCCGGGTGGTACAGTTCACTGACAATGGGCTTCTTCTTCTTTTGGTACCTAATGGGGCCTGCCACAGCCATGAAAAGCCTTGAAGGGCTATGGTTGCTAAGCTATGAGTCCTTTAAGCAACCAAGCTCAGTATATTCAGAGACGCCGCCAAGGATGGTCCCTTCTTGGGACCATCTGCAGCAACTGCAGCAACGGACACTGCAGTTGCTAGGGAAGTTGTGATTATCATCCCTCATAACAAGGTGCTTCATGGTTGCTAGGGAGATGTTCCAGGCACCAGTGGGGTCCCCATGATCTTTGTTGCTAAGGAAAAGGCATTCCTTAGCAACAAGGCCTAGGATGTTTAGAAAGGCTTTTAGAAAGGGACTTTTTCCTGGTCGCAGTGATTTTTGGAGAAGTGTCACTTCTAACAATACGGTGGTTCCCTCGTCACTCGTGCCGACAGCCCCAACACTGGGAAATGGCCCATATGAAGCCTTGGTGGCCTCTGATGATGGGAGGGGAGCCATCCTTTAGGGGTAGGGACCCAGCAGATTTAGAAAAACCTTCGATTCCTGCTTGGATTCACTGGGGGGACATCATCTCTCTAGCAGCTGGAGATCAGAGCATGGTTATTAGGGCAGTGGTAATAAATTCACGTGGGGGTGTCACTACCCCCACAACAGAATGGCAGTTGGTGACGACTAGGGGACAACCCTAGCAGGGAGTAGTTCATCATTTACATCGACGGGCTGTTCCCCCAGCTGCAGTCCAAGCCCCTGGGGGAAGGCTGACTGCAGCTGCGAGGAACACAAGGGCAGTCTACTCCTGGTTGCCGGGGGTGCCATTTCCCTAGCAACACGGGGGCAATACTTCCTCAGCCACAAGAGAATCCACAGCTATGGCCGTGCTACTTGCCTAGCAATACCGGTGCTGGGGGGTGGGGGGTGGAGCCTCTCTGGCAACAAGGGTCAACCCACAGTTACCAGGGGGAGGTTTGGCTTCGTTAGCAACAGTGTAACCGTAGTTGGTAGGAATGGCATGCCCTCTGCTGGGGAACAGCACTGGTCAGGGATTGGAAATTGCTATTTCCTTGCAAACAGAGGGCAGCTGAGGGCTGCCATGTGAGGATATCCCACGGGATGGAGCAGTGCTAGCTCCTAGCAACAAAGGCGCAGTGCAGGGGGAGCCATATCTGCAGCAACAGAGCAAAACTTCTGGCAAAAAGGAGGTGAAGTACTGTTGCTAGGGATCCTGCTTCCCTAGCAAATAGCAGTGTTCCGTTGCTAGGGAACCGTTTCCCTAGCAACAGAGGGTGACCCACCACTACCAAAGGATGGCATCCCCAGCAAGCAGGAACAACCTGGTTCTGGGGGGTGACACTTCCGTGGCAACAGAGGGGTGGCACAGAGTTGCTAAGTGACCACCTTTTCCTAGCGACAGGGGGGGCAGTTCACCATACTGCGGGGTGACAAGCGCTAGCAACAAGGGGCATCTGTCAGTACCAGGGGTCTTTTCCCTACCGACAGGGGCTGGCAGGCCGTGGTTGCCAAGGGGGTGACACTCTGCTAACAAAAAGATGGTGGCCCTGGCCCCTTGCTCCCCGCTCTCCTCCCTGCTAGGGGCAGAGCCAGCCCTTGGAGGTGGGGGCTGCTGGGTCTTGGGAAGCCTCCCTCGCGCCGCCTGACCTGCTGGGGGGTGGGCATTGGAGGGTGGGGCCGCCCCCGGCCCGGGCTTTGGCGGCCACGGGGTAGGCCCCGAAGCCGGCGGCAATGCAGCCGCACTCGGCGGCAATCCAGGCCACGTAGAAGCGCATGCGGAAGGCGAAGAAGACGGGGATCATGTAGAAGAGGCGGGCGGGCAGCGGGCGGGCGTAGAAGGCGTCCTCGCGCACGGCCTCCAGCGGGAAGAGGTGGGAGGAGAGCAGGAACAGCAGGCCGAAGAGCGGGGCCGGCCAGGCGCGGCGCAGCAGGGGCCGCAGGCTGGGCACGGCCCCCGGGAAGGGCTGCTCCAGCCAGTCCAGGTAGGTGCGGTAGCGGAAGAACGGGCCTGTGGGGCGGGGAGGGAGGGCCGCCGTCAGACAGGCAGCTGGGCAGAGCTCCAGTCTGCAGGAGGAGGAGAGGGAGCTTGGAGGGAAGGTGGGAAGAGGGAGAGAGAGGGGCAGAGACTGGGCGCCGGGGAGACCCCAAGGGTAGGGACGGAGACCCAGAGAGATGGGGATAAGGAACGAGAGTCAGGGGGACAAGAAACTCAGAGAGACAGAGACAGTGACAGAAAATTAGAAAGAGGGGCTGGCGCGGTGGCTCACACCTGGAATCCCAGCACTTTGGGAGGCCTAGCTGGGAGGACTGCTTGAGCCCAAGAGTTCGAGACCAGCCTGGGCAAAACGGCAAGACCCCATCACTACAAAAAATAAAAATTAGCCAGGTGTGGTGGAGGGCACCTGTAATCCCAGCTACTGGGGGGGCTGAGGCGGGAGGATCGTTTGAGCCTAGGCTGCAGTGAGCAGTGACTGTGCTACTGTGTTCCAGCCAGGGAAGGAGGGAAGGAGGGAAGGAGGGAAAGAGGGAAGGAGGGAAGGAGGGAGGAAGGGAGGAAGGAAAGAAACTAGGAGATAGCTGCGGAACTTTAGCTACAACATGATGGTGATCTGGCCTAGGGAGGAAGCAGTGTGATTCACAGAAGGGACCGGGGTTAAAATTTTTGTATGTTCACAAAAGACTATATGTTTAGGTCAATGTAGCATGGAAAGTTAAAAATAAAAAAAAAAAGAAAGAAAAAAAATTAAAATAAATAAATAAGACCACATGTTGTGTGATTCCATGTGTAAGTACAATGTCCGGAACAGGCAAATCTTTACAGATAGAAAGTCAATTACTGGTTTCCAGGGATGGATGGAGGTTTGGGGGATGACGGATATGGGGTTTCTTTGCAGGGTATGAAATTGTTCTGAAAATAACTACACAGTGGTCATGTTTGCACAACTCCGTGGATATACTAAAAATCAGGGAGTTGTATGTTGGTTTTTCTTTTCTTTTCTTTTTTTTTTTCAGGAAATCAAAGAAGCCAAGAGTTGTATGTTTTAAGTGGATGACTATGTGAATTAGAGTTCCCTAAAGTTGTTATTGGAAAAAAAACTTTGATGAGGTAAACATTAATGAAAATTTTTTTTAAATTTCACACATATATATACATATATATACACACGCACACACACACATATATATAAATATGTATGCATATATATACATTGTTTTGAGACGCAGTCTCGCTCTGTCGTCCAGGCTAGAGTGCAGTGGCGTAATCTTGGCTCACTGCAAGCTCTGCCTCCCAGGTTCACACCATTCTCCTGCCTCAGCCTCCCGGATAGCTGGGACTATAGGTGCCCGCTAAGACGCCCAGCTAATTTTTTGTATTTTTAGTAGAGACGGGGTTTCACTGTGTTAGCCAGGATGGTCTCGATCTCCTGACCTTGTAATCCACCTGCCTCGGCCTCCCAAAGTGCTGGGATTACAGACCACTGCGCCTGGCCAACATACATATATATTTTTTGAGACGGAATCTTGCTCTTTTGCCCAGGCTGGAGTGCAGTGGTACAATCTCGCCTCACTGCAACCTCCGCCTCCTGGGTTCAAGCGATTCTCCCGTCTCAGCCTCCCAAGTAGCTGGGATTACAGGCGCAGACCACCATGCCCGGCTAATTTCTGTATTTTTAGTAGAGATGGGGTTTCACCATGTTGGCCAGGCTGGTCTCAAACTCCTGACCTTAGGAGATCTGCCCGTCTCGGCCTCCCAAAGTGCTGGGATTACAGGGGTGAGTCACTGCGCCCAGCCCTTTTAATTTTATATTTATTTTTTTAAAATAAAGGTTTAAAATAAAGGGATGGGATCTTGCTACGTTGGCCAAGTGGATCTTGAACTCTTGGCCTCAAGCCATCCTCTGGCCTCAGCCTCCCACAGTGCTGAGATTATAGGCGTCAGTCCCCACGCCCAGATGAAAAATATTTCCTTAAACTGAAAGTGGACTCTAAGCTGTGAATATTTGTTATCTGGGCAGCAAAAACATCAGGTTGACATAGATCTTTACCTCCTTTCTCTCTTCTCTGTGCTCCCCATAAGCTACAGAAGAAGAGAAGAGCAAGGAATCACTTAGGCTGAGAACAGCCAGCTTCTACCCCGAAGCAGCTCTGGTCCAGCGGAGGCGTGAGACGTAGACCCAGACACATGCTCACCCTCACAGCAGCAGATGCTAGGATGGAAGTTGCCCCGGGCAGGGCGGGAACACAGAACAGGCACTCAGGGCGGCGGAGAGACAGAGCTGTCGGGCAGGCCCACTCACCTGTCATGATTCCCACGTAGCAGTAACTGTAGCTGAGCGTCTCCATCAAGGAGGGCACGTCGGGCAGCAGCCCCAGGGTGGGCCCCTTGCTGAAACCCGAGGCCATTTCCTTCCTCTGGGCCAGGTGCAGGTCCTGGACTTCACTGGCCAGGCTCACCAGCTGGGCGGAAGGGGGTGGGCAAGGGGCCAGGTCAGACTTTGGGCCCTTCCCCACACCCATCTCCCTTGTGCTGCTGCCCTCTGCAGCCAAGGGGTGCTGCATGCTCGCAGCTCTGCATATCTAGTTGTGTGTAAGGCCTCTAGCTGGGCAGTGTTCCCCAGGGATCAGTCCCAGGCCTCCTCCCGCCTTCCCTGTTCTGTCCTTACCTGCTCTCAGGCAGTCACAGAGGTTTCGATACTATCCACACACTGATGATGCTCAAACGCTACCCCAGCCCCAGACCTATCCATCAAGTGGCTTATTGGCATTTAGACTCGGATGTCTCCAGGCACCCCAAAATGCACTGGAAACGGAAGACGATGTTATCTGCCCCACAAGTAGATCCTCTTCTAGTGTCTCCCCTCAAACAATAGGCCACCAAATTGTTCAAGCCCAAAACCTCCCTCACTCCCTCACTCCCTCACTCCCCAAATCAATCTCTTTTTTTTTTGAGACAAGTTTTGCTCTGTCACCCAGGCTGGAGTAGAGTGGCACGATGTCGGCTCACTGCAACCTCCGCCTCCTGGGAACTCAAGCAATTTCTCATGCCTCAGCCTGGCCAGGCTGGTCTCGAACTTCTGGCCTCAAGTAATCAGCCTGCCTTGAAATCCCTTAAGTTTGACTCTGTTGCCTCTTTTCATCTCCACTACTGAGCTGAATATGTTGTACTCTCCACCCTTTCCCACCAGTCCCAAGGTCCACCCTATATCAATAGATCTCGTTCTTCCAGCTTGTGGCTGGGTTGTCCATAGAAATCCCTGGCTGGAGTCGGACAAAGTCAGGAGAGGGAGGGCAGGGCTTTTATTCCCTTGTGAGATGGCCTTGGCTGGCCATCACCCTTGATAGATGTTTCAAGGTGGGTGGCTCTACTCACCCTTTAAAAAAAATAATGTTGGCCGGCGGTGGCTCGCGCCTGTAATCCCAGCACTTTGGGAGGTGGGCGATCACGTGAGGTTGGGAGTTTGAGACCAGCCTGACCAACAAGAGAAACCCCTCTCTACTAAAATACAAAAAAGTAGCGCGGCATGGTGATGCATGCCTGTAATTCCAGCTACTCGGGAAGCCGAGGCAGAATTGCTTGAAGCCAGGAGGTGGAGGTTGTGGTGAGCCAAGATCTGCAATTGCACTCCAGCCTGCAACAAGAGCGAAACTCCATCTCAAAAAAAAAAAAAAAAAATAGGGCCTGGTGTGATGTGGTGGCTCACGCTTGTAATCCCAGCACTTTGGCTGGCCTAGCAGGCAGATCACTTGATGTCAGGGGTTTGAGACCAGCCCAGCCAAGATAGTGAGACCCATCTCTACTAAAATATATAAAATTAGCCAGGTGTGGTGTGGGGCCCCTGTAGTCCCAGCTACTCGAGAGGCTGAAGTGGGAGAATCGCTGAACCTGGGAGGCAGAGGTTGCAGTGACATCACACCACTGCACTCCAGCCTAGGTGACAGAGCGAGATTCTGTCTAAAAAAAAAAATTATTTTTTTTGTAAGAGACAGAGTCTCACTATATTGCCCAGGCTGGTCTTAAACTCTGGCCCCAGCAATCCTCCCACTATGACCTCCCAAAGCGCTGGGATTATACAAGTATGAGTCACTGCACCAGGCCTACACAACCTTTTTTCCATTGAGGTACCACAACCTGACCCACTTCCCCTGGGCCTTGAGTTGGAACGGCTCCTGCTGCCTGGTCTGGGGTTCAGGCACCACCCCTTTTTTTTTTGAGGCAGTCTTGCTCTGTCACCCAGGATGGAGTGTTGTGGCACTATCTCGGCTCACTGCAAGCTCCGCCTCCCAGGTTCACCCATTCTCTGCTGCCTCAGCCTCCCCAGTAGCCGGGAACTACAGGAGCTCGCCAACCACGCCCGGCTGATTTTTTTTGTATTTTTAGTAGAGACGGGGTTTCACCGTGTTAGCCAGGATGGTCTCGATCTCCCGACCTCGTGATCCACCCACCTCGGCCTCCCAAAGTGCTGGGATTACAGGCGTGAGCCACCGCGCCAGGCCGGCACCACCCCTTTTTGCTCTTCTACATCCTGCCCCCACGGTGGCCACTCCTTCAATCATCCTAAATGCGCATTTCCTGCTGCAGCTCAGACCTACCCACAGCCGACAGCCTGTATCAAGGCACCACAGTCTGTCACCTGGACTTGGATAAAAGGATCCTTTTTATTTGGATCCCTTTATATAGGATAAAGGAGGATCCCTTTATCCAAGTCCATTCCATCTTGCCCTGTTCCACTTCAATTCTCCTTCAGCATCCAGAACGAGTGTTTTTTTATTTTTATTTTTTGAGACGGAGTCTTGCCCGGGGAGGCCCAGGCTGGAGTGCGATGGTGGGGATCTTGGCTCACTGCAACCTCTACCTTCCAGGTTCAAGCGATTCTCCTGCCTCTGCCTCCCAAGTAGCTGGGATTACAGGTGTGCGCCACCGCACCTGGCCTAGAACGAGTATTTCCATTTATTTATTTTTGAGACGGAGTTTCGCTCTTGTCACCCGGGCTGGAGTGTAGTGGCGCCATCTCAGCTCACCACAACCTCTGCCTCCTGGGTTCAAGCAATTCTCCTGCCTCAGCTTCCCGAGTAGCTGGGATTACAGGCGTGCACCACCACACCCAGCTAATTTTTTGTATTTTCAGTAGAGACAGGGTTTCTCCATTTTGATCAGGCTGGTCTCAAACTCCCCACCTCAGGTGATCCGCCTGCCTCAGCCTCCCAAAGTGCTGGGATTACAGGCGTGAGCCACCGCGCCCGGCCAGAACAAGTATTTTTAAACATTTAAAACTGGTCACATTGCCTCTTCTGGCAGCAAACCAAAGATCCCCTCTTCCAGCACATCTCAGTCCTCCGTGGGAAGAAGTCCAAAGTCCTCACGGTTGCCAGCCAGACCTAGCATGGTGTCAGCCCTGCTGCCCATTCCCTTTTGCTCTTCCCAGAAAGCGCATGTGGCTGGTGCAGCAGGTGAACCCCTCCTGCTCCCCTCCACACGGCCTGAAATGCTCCTCCTCTAACCCCTCTCTCATCCAACCTACTCCTGCCACTGCTGAGCTCCCGTGGGGCACACTGAAGGCTGTGGAGGCCGCTCCCTACCTAGCATGACCGCTGTGTTCACAGATAAACCTCCAGTAGGAAACTGTGACTCTGTGGGTCTGGGGTGGGCCCTGGGAGTCTGTTTTCACCCATCTTCCCAGGTGACTAGGAGCCAGACCTGGATGCCCTAGTTTTGTGCCCTTCAACAAGTACCTTCTCCCCAGAGCTGGTTTTTCTCCTTTGCAGAATAGCTAGCTACAGAGATTCAAGGACAGCATGTTGGTAAACCACCCAGCTGGGCCTCTGGCTCACAGCAAGCACCCAATGGCACCTACTGTTACTAACCCACATGGGTTATTTCCTCACCCCAGGAGGAGCTGGGAGGTGAAGACCTGTCAAGAGCATGTGAATGGGGAACCCCATGCCCAGGGCAGCAGTGTGGTGGCGGCCCACCCCCAGGGTGTGCAGGAGGTAAAATCCGGGAGCGGCTGGAGGGGGAGGTAAAGTGGGGAGGTGAAGGGGCCCACAGGGAGGCTGGAGGGGAGTGGCAAGTCCCGAGTCTGACCTTCAGCGTCAGTAGCAGCTGGACGGCATTGGTGAAGGGCGTGGGAGTGGGCAGGCCCAGCAGGCTGAGGGCTCAGAAGAACAGGAGATAGGAGAAGGTCCAGGCCAGAGCCAGGGCGTGGCAGGAGCTGGGCAAAAGCAGGAGGTGCGTTGTGTTGGGCACAGAAGTCTCGGCCTTGGCCACCCACTCCCCGAGTCCAGCCACCAATCCTCCCCCAACTCTCGCCATTCATTCAGAGACAGAAACACAGAAGGGCAGAGAGAGAGGACTGGAGGGTGGATGTAGGGACGGAATGAGTATGATTGAAATGGGGAGAAGAGGCTCAGCCACACAGAAACACACAGCAACAGAGAAGAATGAGGTTCAGAGAAGCTTCAGGTGAAGACCCTGCACTCCTCCGCTTTTTCTTTATTTCCAAGGTCCAGGGCTCAAGAAGAGGGAGGTGGATATGAATGAATATGAACGGTGGCAGGGCCAGCAGAAACACCATCCACCTCTCTCCATGACATGCATGTAGCGGACTGGGACAAACACACAGGGACCAGATGCAGAAGGCGGGGGAGGAAGAAAAGCAGATGAAGAGGCTGGGTAGGGTGGCTCACGCCCGTAATTCCAGCACTTTGGGAGGCTGAGGAAGGCAGATCACAAGGTCAGGAGTTCGAAAGCAGCCTGACCAACATGGAGAAACCCCATTCATTACTAAAATACAAATTTAGCCCAGGCATGGTGGTGCATGCCTGTAATCCTACTACTCGGGAGCGGGGAAAGAGAATCGCTTGAACCCGGAGGTGGAGGTTGCAGTGAGCTGAGATCGCACCACTTGAACTCCAGCCTGGGCAATAAGAGCGAACTCCATCTCAAAAAGAAAGAAAAAAAAAAGAAAAAACCCATGAAACAGAGAAGTTGCTGATCAACAAGGACAGCCAGACAGCCAGAGATAGGCAAGAAGCTGAGAAAGCCCAAAGGGAACAGGTTACTTCCTCCTCTGCCTCCTCTCCCTCTCCTCCCTCCACCAATTATCACCAGGGGCTGGGCCTGAATGAGGGCCGGTCCCAAGGATGGTGATCAGAGAATGCAAAGTGTGGGGGCCACAGGTGAACAGGTGAGGCCCCAGGCCCACAGCAGCTGCCCTCCCCATCTTTTCAGCCAGGACCTGCAGGGGGAAGGGACAGCATAAGCCTGGAACCTTCCAGAGGGTCCCCCCCTTTATTTTTCACTGCGGAGGGAGCCTGACTCACGTTTCTTTTTTTTTTTTTTTTTTTTTTTTTTTTTTTGAGACGGAGTCTCGCTCTGTCGCCCAAGGGATTGCCGCAGTGGCCGGATCTCAGCTCACTGCAAGCTCCGCCTCCTGGGTTTACGCCATTCTCTCCGCCTCGCCCTCCCGAGTAGGTGGGATTACAGGCGCCTGTCACCTCGCCGGCCTAGTTTTTTGTATTTTTTAGTAGAGGACGGGGTTTCTCCGTGTTAGCCAGGATGGCCCTCGATCTCCTGACTTCGTGATCGCCCGTCCGCCCTCCCCAAAGTGCTGGGATTACAGGCTTGAGCACCGCGTCAGCCCTCACCTGGCCTTTCTTTAAAAGGAGGAAGCCGATGGGGATGGAGATAAGAAGAACCACTAGATACGTCCATTCTTCAGGCGACATGGTCTGGGGGAGGGGCAGAGATTCACAGTGAGAACCCAGGAATCCAAGCCCCCTGCCTCCTCCCTCTTCCAGGATCCAGGAACCCAGCCCTCTAGACCCCAGTTTCTGAGGATGATGGAGTCCGAGACTCAGCTCCTCTCCTTTGAGAACCTAGGAACCCGGACTCCAGCCCCTTCCTCCTTGGAGACAAGAATCCACCCCCAGCCCCTCTCCTATGAGCGCACAGGCCTCCAGCTCTCCTCTCCTTTGAGAACCCAGGAAAGCGTGGGGATCTCCCAGCACCCAGGCGCCTCCTTTGCGAAGGCAGAAATCAAAGTTACTCCCTGCACCCATACTAGGGACCCAGATTTGAAGACGCCCCTCTTTTTAAAACCCAGAAACAGCACCCCTCCCAGACCCTTCCTCTTCGACAGCCCAGGAATCTAGACCTCCGAGACCCCTCTTCCAGCGAGGATCCAGGAACCCAGACCCCCTCTTTGGATCCCCCATCCCCCAGTCCTTGTGAAACCAGATATCCGGACCCCCCAGCCCTTGTCCTTCGCGAGCACTCAGAGGAGCCCGGGCCTCCAGCCTCACCTCCTTCGGAGCTCCAGACCCCTCTCCTACGGAGAACCCGGGGATCGGACACCCTTCCCTCCCCAGGCCCAGGCCCAGGCCCAGCCCCAACCCGTCCCGCGCACCCCAGCGTGGGTCGGATCCAATCCCCGGCAGATCCACAGGCGGTTGCGCCACCCGGAGCTTCTAACAGCGCCTCCGGGCCGCTCCGCACCCGGTACCAGCCTGCAGAGACCCTGCCGCCTGTAACCTCGCCTTGCCACTGGGCGCGCCACCCCGGCCCACTGAGCTGCTCGCCGGGCAGGAGGCGGGCCGAGCAGTCCCAGCCCGCGGGGCAGCTGCGCTCCGGCCACGCCTCCCCCGCCCAGCGCGCCCCCGCGCCGCCTGCTCCTTCTGGGCGCCCGCTGGGCCGCGCGGATCGGGGCGGGGATGAGGCCACGGTCAGGGTCCCGGGCGGGCAGGGAAGGAGCCCCAGAGCAGGCGACCGGAGCGCGAGTCGACAACGGGACTCGAGTCCAGGTCCACACCGGGCTCCGAGCCCCGAGAACGTGAAGGGGCGGGGCTTCGGGCTCGGAACAAGGAGGAGCCAAAAGCTTTGGACCCGAAGGGAGACAGACGGGATCCGGAAAGGAGGCGGGGTCTGGAGCTCGGCGTGAGGGATGAGGATCGGTCTCCGTTCGGGTTCCTTCGGGCACAATCGGGAGCTTCAGTTCACGGGAGGCGGGGCCACAAACTTCGGCTCACTTCGGAGATAGTCGAGAACGGAGCGCTGGGGCTACTGTGGGCGGGGCCACATGTTTCGGCTTTCTTCGGAGATAGTCGAGTCCTTAGCGTCACTGTTCCGATGTGGGCGGGACCACAGACTCGGCCGGATGTGGGTGGGGCCATAAGCTTCGGTTTACTTCGTAGATAGTTGGGTACAAGGGACGCTAGGATGATAGGCGGAGTCAACAGGTTCGCCAGATACCGATGAGGATTTACAAGGGGGCGGGGCGAAAGCGGCTTGCCCTCAAAGGGGCGGAACCCCGAGGGCCGGCGTGCGCCTAGGGGACGGGGCCAGGGTGACGAGCCTCAAGTTCCCAAGCTGAGGAGAGGAAGCTGCAGAGGGAGGTGCGCTCGGTGGGGCGGGGCCAAGGTGGTCACCGCGGGGAGGAGGGCGGGGCTTCGAGTCTGCGAGGGGCGGGTCCTGACTCCCCCCGGCGCTGACGGGGCGGGATGACGAAGTTGACGAGAGGGTCGGCAAGAGCGGGTGGAGGAAGGAGCGCGTGGCGCGGTGCGTAGTGGGTGGCTCCGCCTCGACTGCGAGTTAGTGTTTATGAGGTGACTCGCTGGTTCTGTCGGTGGACCGTGGGACATTCTGAAGGGAAGCAAGGAGGCGGACTGAGCGCTCCCAAGTGGGGTGAGCCCGCCCGAGCGGAGAGTGGACGGCGGGTGCCCAGGGGGCGGGGCTTTCGGCTATGGGGTTCGGTCGTCGGGCGGGAACTCCCCATCGGGGGTGCGCTGGCGCTCGGAGGGGGCGGGGCCACAGCCTGCGGGACTGCCGGGAGCCGATGACGCCCGAACGCCGAACCTCAGGCGTCCGGCAGGAGGCGGGGCTACGGATTCGGCCGAGCCGAGAACACCCGAACGCCAAATTGCTCGCGTTCGAGAAGGGGGCGGGGCTGCGGATTCGGTGAAGCCAAGGACGCCCGACCGCCGCACTTCTTGTGCTCGGAAGGGGGCAGGGTTTTGTACTGTGGGAGTCTGAGAGCTTGTAGGCCCGAAAGCCGAATCACAGTGGTTCGGAAAGAGGAGGAGCCAAGGCCGGAGCGTCCCGAAGTGGGTGTGGCCTTGGCAGTGCCTTAGCCTCGAGAGCTTCTGACCCCTGATGGAAGCACCCGAAGGGGGACGCCCACGTTGCAAGAGGGTGGTGCCAAAATGGACCTTTGTAAGGGGGCGTGTCGCCGCGCTTGGGGAGGTTTGTTTTTGAGACTCCAAGGCGCAATGGTAGGTACGGCAGTGTGGGCACAAAGCGGGTGCCGACTGCAGGGTCACAAGGGTAGAGCAGGGCCCCGGGGGCGCGGCGAGAGGCGAGGGCCGCGGGTCGGTCTCCGGCGGCCGCAGGGCCTGGCGGGATCGCCCTGGGGTGGGGCCTGGCGCTCCGGCCCAGCAGGTGGTGAACGGCGGCTGAGCGAGGCCCCGCCCCCTGATAACTAGGGGCGGGGCTTCGCCAAGACCCCGGAGGCTTTGGTTGTGCTCCGGTGGCCCGCGGCGCGCAGCCGTTTCGGTAACTGCTTTGCTTCCCGGCTCCCGCAGGAGGATGCTAGTGGTGGAGGTGGCGAACGGTCGCTCCCTGGTGTGGGGAGCCGAGGCGGTGCAGGCCCTCCGGGAGCGCCTGGGTGTGGGGGGCCGCACGGTAGGCGCCCTGCCCCGCGGGCCCCGCCAGAACTCGCGCCTGGGCCTCCCGCTGCTGCTGATGCCCGAAGAGGCGCGGCTCTTGGCGGAGATCGGCGCCGTGACTCTGGTTAGCGCCCCGCGCCCAGACCCTCAGCACCACAGCCTGGTAAGGGGGCGGGGCTCGAACGCCTGGGTTCGGTGGGAGCGGGACTTGGGAGTAAAGATTCCTGGTTTCCGAAGGGACCGTAAGCTTGGAGGTTCCAGCCAAGTGTGCTTCTCAGGCCCTGACAGCCTTCAAGCGCCAGCAAGAGGAGAGCTTCCAGGAGCAGAGCGCCTTGGCGGGATCCCTGGTGGGATCATAAGGGGGCGGGGCTGGAACCCCTGGGTTCGGTGGGAGCCGGGCCTGGGAGTCAGGATTCCTGGCTTCCGAAGGGACCGTAAGCTTGGAGGTTCCAGCGACGTGTGCTTCTCAGGCCCTGACAGCCTTCAAGCGCCAGCAAGAGGAGAGCTTCCAGGAGCAGAGCGCCTTGGCAGCTGAGGCCCGGGAGACCCGTCGTCAGGAGCTCCTGGAGAAGATTACGGAGGGCCAGGCTGCCAAGAAGCAGAAACTAGAACAGGCTTCAGGGGCCAGCTCGAGCCACGAGGCCGGCTCGAGCCAGGCTGCCAAAGAGAACGAGACCAGTGATGGCCAGGCTTCGGGAGAGCAGGAGGAAGCCGGTGAGTATGGGAGGTGGAGTCCAGGAACCACGGGAAGGAGAGGAGAGATCTTTGGGAAATTGTAGCTGGGAATCCAGTGCCTGGGTCTCCCTGAGGGCGAGAAGACTTTGCCCCTTGGATTTACCAAACTCTTCTCTGTACTCCCCACCAGGTCCCTCCTCTTCCCAAGCAGAGCCCTCAAATGGGGTAGCCCCCTTGCCCAGATCTGCTCTCCTTGTCCAGCTGGCCACTGCCAGGCCTCGACCTGTCAAGGCCAGGCCCCTGGACTGGCGTGTCCAGTCTAAAGACTGGCCCCACGCCGGCCGCCCTGCCCATGAGCTGCGCTACAGCATTTACAGAGACCTGTGGGAAGAGCTTCTTCCTCAGTGCGGCTGGCAAGTTCGGAGGTGACTTCCTGGTCTATCCTGGTGAGTCTGGGTTGGGGCCTCTGGTTGCTGTGCCTTTCCATACGATCCCAATGTATTCTGCGTTTTTTTTTTCTTTCTTTTTTTTTTTGTCTTAATAGAGATAGGGTCTCTATTGTTGCTCAGGCTGGTCCCATTTCCTGGGCTCAAGCAGTCCTCCCACCTCGGCCTCCCAAAGTGCTGGGATTACAGGCCCAGCTGCATTTTTTTTTTTTTTGGTCTCACTTTCTCTTAGCCTCTGAAATTCATAGACGGACAGGAAACATTTTGGAGCTCCTGAACTCATTGGGAAAGCAGTTTAGCAACTTTTATTAAATATTTACTGTGATCCAGAAGATTTGCTTAGAAGTAGTTAGACATCAGTCTGGGCGCCATGGCTCACGCCCGTAATCCCAGCACTTTGGGAGGCTGAGACAGGTGGATCACCTGAGGTCAGGAGTTTGAGACCAGCCTGGCCAACATGGTGAAACCCCGTCTCTACTAAAAATACTAAAACTAGCTGGGTGTGGTGGGTAGGCACCTGTATTTCCAGCTACTCGGGAGGCTGAGGCAGGAGAATCACTTGAACCCAGTGGGCAGAGGTTGCAGTGAGCTGAGATCGTGCCATTGCACTCCAGCCTGGGGAACAAGAGCGAGACTTTGTCTCAAAAAAAAAAAAAAAAAGTCTAGAGCGGAATAGTTGGGTCCAAGAGCATCTGTTTTAGAGTATCCATAGTGATTGCTGAAATGATCTCAAATCTCCTCCCAGTGGTCGTTCCTGTGGCATCCAGCCCTCTGCCATTGGTCACTGCTTCAGTGCTTCTCTCCCTCCCCCAGGTGACCCCCTCCGCTTCCATGCCCACTACATCGCTCAGTGCTGGGCCCCGGAGGACCCCATCCCACTCCAGGACCTGGTTGCTGCTGGGCGCCTTGGAACCAGCGTCAGAAAGACCCTGCTCCTCTGTTCTCCGCAGCCTGATGGTAAGGTGGTCTACACCTCCCTGCAATGGGCCAGCCTGCAGTGAACTCCAAGACCTAGGGGGACATGGCTGTGTCTGCAGCAAGAGCCTTTCTAGATGTTCCCCAGCTCTTCTCTGGGAGTCTAGAACATCCTCCTACCTTTCTCTGCAGTTAGTTTTTGATTCCAGGTTTTCAAACACTACATCCTTTTTATGTTCTTCCTTGTTTGAAAGCACTTATTGGCTGTGTTTTTGTAGTTACCTGTTTTCACACTGTGAGCTTCCTGAGAATGGGGCCTGGGTTTGATTCATCTGTTTTCTACAGGGTTTAAGTCTCAGGAGATCTCAATAAACTTGTTATATAAATGTTCATGATTTGAATGTTTATGACAAACCTGGAACCGGTGGATAGTCTCATCTGCATATACAGATGAGAAAAAGGCCTGGAAGAGGGGGAATGACTTGCCCAAAGTCACACAGATAGTAAATAGCAGGCCTGGCCTTTCAAAATTGGTTTTCCTCACTCCTAAATCTGCACTCTTTCTACCGCACTAAACTTCCTTTTGAAAAGATTTCTACAAAATTTCCCAGATGCATACAAAGGTTATAAATAAAAATATATAGGCTGGCCCACACCTGTAATCCCACAGAACTTTTGGAGGCCAAGGCAGGAGGATCGCTTGAGTCCAGGAGTTTGAGACCAGCTCTGGCAACACTGTAATACCCATCTCTACAAAAAATAATTTTAAAAAAATTAGGGATCCCTTGAGCCTGGGAAGTTGAGGCTGCTGTGAGCTGTGATTGCACCACTGCACTCCAGCCTGGGAGACAGAGCAAGATCCTGTCTCAAAAATCTGTATGTATATATATGTGTGTATATATGTAAATATACGCACACACGTACGTGTGTGTATATATGTGTGTGTGTGTATGTATATCATGAAAGGAAATGAGTATTGTAATTTTAGGAGTTCAGAGCATGGGGAGAGTGTCAGGAAGGACTCTGGAAGGCATTCTGCTTTTTCATGGCCTGGGTAGTGGTTGAGAATTTTTTTGATACTATACATTTATATTTTAGACTCTTTTTTTGGATTTGTTATATTCTGCAATTTTTATAAAAGCTAAAACACATGTATATGTATAAAATATGCACTTACGAAATCATTTATCCATGTTTTTGCTTAAGAAAGTACTAGAACACTACCACTATTCCAATAATTACACCTTTATCTTATCAATATGCAGTTTTATTTTGTCACGTTTATTTTGTCAGTGTAATACATTCACATGGTGAGGCCGGGCGCAGGGGCTTATAATCCCAGCACTTTGGGAGGCTGTGGTAGACAGATCACCTGAGGTCAGGAATTTGAGACCAGCCTGGCCAACATGGTAAAATCCCATCTCTACTAAAAATACAAAAAAAAATTAGCTGGGCGTGGTGGTGCACACCTGTACTCCTAGCTACTCAGGAGCCTAAGGCAGGAGAATCACCTGAACCCAGGAGGCAGAGGTTGCAGTGAGCCAAGATCGTGCCACTGTACTCCAGCCTGGGCAACAAGAGCTAAACTCCATCTCAAAAAAAAAAGACAAGACAGTAACCCCTGCCTGGCCAATACTCTCTTTGTGCCTGCTTCATAAGTGGCTTTGTATGTCTATTCTCCACCCTTCCTCCTGTCTACAACAAAGTACTTGGAAGTCTCATTACCCCTGTCAGGAGTCTCCGCTCTGAAATGTTCCTCATTTAAAACCCTTGTGGCTGGGTGTGGTGGCTCAGACCTGTAATCCTAGCAGTTTGGGAGGCCAAGGTGGGAAGATCCTACCAAGCATCTTAGAAAAAATACCCGAAACCATGGGGTCATTTTGATCTTTGATGCTTCCGTAAACTCCATGCCCTGCCTGCTATTCTTGCCCTCTCACTTGTCTGTTTTCAACAAGCAGCCAGAATCATCATATAAAAGTTAGTCAAGCGACCATGTCACAGCTCTGTCTAACTCGCCTGGAGTTTTTCCATCTCAGAGTGACACCCAAAGGCTCCAACTTTGACTCAGCTTCCTCATGAAAATGACACTGTGGCATCTTCATTCACTTGCTTAATTATCTATGTTTATTTGTTTTGAGACGAGGCGTCTGTCTGTTGCCCAGGCTGGAGTGCAGTAGCACAATCTCGGCCCACTGCGAGCTCTGCCTCCTGGGTTCAAGCGATTCTCCCCACCTCAGCTCCCAAGTACCTAGGATTACCGGCGCCGGCCACGGACTGTCAGGGCTAATTTTTTGTATTTTAGTAGAGACAGGGTTTCATCATAATTGCCCAGGCTGAACTCCTGAGCTCAGGCAATCCACCACCTCAAGCCTTCCAGGAAGTGCTAGGATTATAGGCATGAGCCACGCCGCC